CTTCGCAGCCAGAACAAACTTTCAACTCATCAAATTGGACTGTTACGTGCAATAACAAATGTTGCAGTAGCTCATTCAGCTCAGGTGACAGAGCCCAAGCTCTTTAGCACAGATATGATTCTTCATATTGTAGCCTCAGTTTGCCTTTCTTTATTATTTTTTTAATTTGCTGGTTGGCATGTTTGCTCACCAAAGAGATAGAGACAAAGGTGGGGGGAAGGCAGAGAAAGAGAGAGAGAGGGAATGCAAACCCCAATGGGGCATGGTCACACCATAATCCGTTCTCATCTATTTCTCTGTCCTGTTGGGATTTGGGGAATGTATGCACAATTGCCCAGTGTATTTTCCAAGCTGCCAAGTCTAGAATTTGAACTGTGTGGTGGGCCATGTGGGATCTGGCTCCCTTAACCACTAAGTCACAGGGCTCACCCAGCCTCTTCTTTTTTTATCTGCTGCTAGTCTCTCACACACTGAAGGTGGGGGGAAGGCAGAGAAAGAGAGAGAGAGGGAATGCAAACCCCAATGGGGCATGGTCACACCATAATCCGTTCTCATCTATTTCTCTGTCCTGTTGGGATTTGGGGAATGTATGCACAATTGCCCAGTGTATTTTCCAAGCTGCCAAGTCTAGAATTTGAACTGTGTGGTGGGCCATGTGGGATCTGGCTCCCTTAACCACTAAGTCACAGGGCTCACCCAGCCTCTTCTTTTTTTTCTGCTGCTAGTCTCTCACACACTGTCCTCTACCCACCTGAAATACATGTAGTACATCTTAAAGATAATGAATTGTCTATCTTTCCTCCAAGATTCTACTTGCTTAGTGCCTCAACCTTGTCATGATGCAGCCTTTTTCTGCTATGTGGGTCACCTCTACTCAGTTTAAGATCACAGAGTTGGGGTCACTTCCTGTGTGCAACTTCTCTCATTTCCTGAACGTGTGTGCATCAAGAGCATCCTGTCCTTTCTGCAGCACTTACCATGTGTGTCAACCTCTTGCTCACTGGGTTGTAAACTCTGAGCCATCAAGTCTGCTTACTCCATCGTTGCTTCCCTAATACTTAGCATAGTTCCTGGAAAATAGTTGATACTCAATAAAATTATTTTAATTCCTGAATGGGTCATTATAACCTATGGCAAAAGCAAGAATTAGAGAACCCTGTCCTTGTTATGGTGTAAGCATTTGCCTATTGAATCAAAGCAACTTTGCGTTATATGAAATTCTAGAAGACCTTAGTCCAAAATGTTAATCCCTGTACGTGATTATCAGGTCTCTGCCTCCCTCATATAGCCACTGGCCCTATTTTGACTGCAGTTGCCTTAGCGTAAGTTCAGTTCTTGCACCTCATACCCATTACCTTCATTCTTTGCCTTGAAGCATCACAGTCTGTTTCCTTTTTCATGTTTTAATCATTCAAATAGTTAAGGTCAACTAGTCTGTCTCCTTCTACTCTCAGTCTTATTTTCTTCAACATAAACAGCCCCAATCCTTCTGACAATTACCTGTGAAAAGTCATCTTCCTCTTTGCCTTCTCTTTTGTCAGTGTCTCTAACAGAATTGCATCCACAATCGGGTAGACATTTCAGAACATAGTGGAAAATATTGGGTCACTATGACTCCATTAAGCTGGCCATTAAATCGCTCGTATGTTAATAGGGCCAAATAAAGGGATCCTCTAATCTCTGCTCCTGCCAATACTATCACGAAAAGCATTTATAATGATTATTTTAGTACTTGGCATGTATTTAGCACATATAGTAGACTTTCACACACACCTTTCATGCAGTACCATACTCAGTTCTCACAACTGGAAGAGGTACATAATAATGAGGTGCCTTTTTAACCAATGTGAAAATGATACATCCAAGGTCACATAACTCGTGAGTGATAGATCCAGCAGTAACTCTAATAGATCGCTAACCTCTTAGTGGGTTTTTATCCTGACCGGTATTTTTAAATTAGTTCATTTTAGACTTTAAAGTAAAAAGCTTTTAAATATCATGATGTCTGCATATGTTATTATACATCGGTGGATTTTTATTAGGCAATCAATATTGAGCATTGCAAAAGACATGGATAAATTCATAGATTATAACCCCAGTCTGATAAAAACATGCATTTACCTCACATCACCACAAGTTGCATTGAGATAACAAAAACATAAAAATAATTATAGATAGGGGACAGCAGGTGTTGTGTGGGTTAAGGCACTGGACTCTCACATGGCCAACCACAGTTCGAGTTCTGGACCTGGTGGCTTGCTTTCTCACTGCCCTCCCCGCCTCATTCTCTCTTTCTAGTGAGCACACATGACCTGTAGCAAATTTAAAAAATAGTAACGATCAATAAAATTAAAATAATTCTTAAAAAAATAATAACACAAATATTCCATTGTATGCTTGCAGGCAGGAAAGTGTTTTGAGGGGATCCCAATAAAAAAGGATGGGGGATAATATGAAGCATAGGAGTTCACAGTGGAACGAAGTATTTTTGTATTAAGGAACCTAGATTCTCCAGAAAAACAATCAGAGGGTTCCAAAAAGAACATTTTTTTCCTAAAATCAACCTCATAAAATCACCAGAATTAGAAACAGGGGTGGGTCGACTGGCAGTTAGCCTATAAACTACAGTGGCTCTGTCCCTAGCCACAGGTTTCACTTTTTAAGATTTCAATTACCTGCAATCAACCACCATCTAAAAATAGTACATGAAAATTCCAGAAATTGACAAATCATCATCTTTTCAATTGTAAGCCTTTCTGAGTAATGTGATGAAGTCTTGTCCTATCCAGTTATGTCCTGTCTCAGTCACGAATGGTCCCTGTGTCTGCCTTATTCCCACTGTATCCACCCATTAGTCACTTAAAACCATCTCGATATTGAAACAACAGAGTCTATGTAGGATTCGGCACTGCTTACAGTTTTAGACATCCACCGGGGGACTTGGAACATATCCTCTGAGGATAAAGGACTGGGGGAATGGGGGTGGGAGGGCGGGGAGATGACTACATTAGCTAAAACTCCTTGAAACCACTGACCTTAACTTTTACAGCAGCTGTCTCTGACTTTTGTTTCTAAAGAGGCTGTGAATACAAGTAGGTTTTTAAACTTTATTTCTCTCATGAGAAAGAGACAGACAGACAGACAAACATCCTCAACAGGGTCTTATGGGGTGACCCTCCCCTCAGCCTCCCCAGCCTCCCCAGCCAGCAGGTTTTGTAGGCACATGCACCTGTACACCTAGTGTGTCCAGGTAAACCTGGAATAGAAGCCTGATCCTCCATGGGTGGCCTGCTACTCTTGCGCCACTGTAGCTGGGCCTATGAGCTTTTCAGATAGAGTTATGCTACAGGGGTTCCCGGAGCAGGCAGCAAGCCTGAGAAGCAGTAAGGTGGCTATGAACTATGGCTGCCAGGAAGCACTGGGAGCTTCTGCTCTGGGAAGTCATGGAGAGTGCTCAGCCACGTGAAAGTCCTGCAGGCTCCATCTGGTCTCCCTTCCTGACCAACACAACGTCCACCAACATCTTCCCTACCCCAC